TACAGGCATGAGCAGTGGCTCATATGTTGAAGCCATAGAATTCTTCACTACAACCATGGGTGAGTTGAAAGATTATGAGGTTACCAATCTGTTGGTCATAAAAACCATAAAAATAACCTTATGAAAACTAAACATTTACGCGAAGTAAGATGGTAACACTGTAGCCACGTGATGCCTGTAATCCCACCTGTTGTAATCACAGATTACATTTGGGAAGCTCAGAATGGGAAGATGTAGTTCCAGGCCAATCCAGGCAGAAAAGTTTATAAGATCCCTTTCTACCCACAGCCTGCCATCCCTTGTTACATGGGAGGCTAAGAAGGGGAAAATTAAGGTTCCATGGAATGAAGTTAGTGCAGTGATGTGTAATGTGCCTAGACAATGACAAGAAGTCATACAGAGGCTCAGGCTCGTGGTAGTGCTGGGGATTAAATTTGTTGGGCAAGTCTTGCTATGCAGGCATTCTGCCCCTTGAGCTATGCTCTACCTCCAAGGGAGTAATTTTCTTATTATTTTATATGAAGTAGCAGCATAATTGTTAAGGCCTGTATATATGTGTATTGAATGTTGTATATCTCATTTACCCAACCCTCTACTATCCTCTATCTAGCTGGTTTTGGTATGACTCAGATCATTTCATGAAGGATCCATGGATGAGAGCTAAGGTCTGATGTATACATGGTTATAGAAGATGCCTCTCCCTTGTCTTGGCTTGAGTACAGATGGAAGAACTACATGTGTTAATAAGACATGAAACTACTTCGAACTACTTTTGGAAGAGAGATCTTTAATAAGTTTTTGCAGGTAGGTAAAACAGAAGGCTTATAATGAGGTGGTTAGAATGAGGACTGTTCAATAGTGATTTATTCCTCTTTTAGGAAAGGGATTTCATAGGAAGCTACTCAAGTCCATTCTCTCTTTAAATCTATTTTTTTTGGTCGGTCGTGGGGCTTGAACTCTGGGCTTGGGTGCTGTCCCTGCACTCTTCAGCTCAAGGCAAGTGCTCTACCACTTGAGCCACAGCACCACTTCCGGTTTTCTAGTGGTTTAAGTCTCATGGACTTTCCTGCCCGGGCTGGCTTTGAACCTTGATCCTCAGATCTGAACCTCCTGAGTAGCTAGGATTACAGGTGTGAGCCACTGTTGCCCGGCTTAAATCTATTCTTTTTATATGCATCTCAGAGATGCTGACAAAGCTATGTCTTCCCTAGTCAGTGCTGGGCCAGAGGCAGGTGCACACATTCGTGGCTCTCCCTTCCTAAAGCAATAGACTTAACCCACTCTTCACAAACTAGGCAAGGATGTGGATATCTTGATACACTACGGTTTCATTGTATTTCTATGCTTTCACTTTCTTTCTTGATCCAGTTGCTAAAATAGTTGTTCCAGTCCCCCAAAATAACTGACAGAGGGCTAGGATCAATTCAGTATTCTTCTTTATATCCAATATGCCTGTAGGCACATTTTGGTATATAAAAATCAGTCCTAATAATATACATACGCAAAAAAGGAAGCAGAAAATGATGCAAAGGGGGAAAGGGTAGGTAAGGAGGAAAGGGAATAAGAAGATGACTAGTTTGATTATAACAGGACTGTAGGTTTACACACAATTATATGCCACATTGTACTTATTTAGAGTTTGAGGGGTTTTTTCCTACTTTCTTTCCTTTTTATTTTTTTGCAGTGATGAGTATTAAACCCAGGACCTTGTACATGCTAGGCAAGTGCTCTACCAGTGAGCTATAACCCTAGTCCTTGTTTTTTTTAGGTAGGGTCAGTATAGTCAAGCTGGCCTTGCACTCATAATCTTTTTCTCTACTTCCTCATGCTCCTGCCTCTGCCCCCAAATTCTGGAATTATAGACAAGGACCTATATGCCTGGTTCTAAATTGCAATTAAAAAAAAAATCTCTTAAGAATGGCAGTGCACACCTGTAATCCTCCCATTCAGGAAGGAGGATACAATAAGAGCTTAAGTTTGAGAGTAGCCTGGACAATATAGTGAAAATCTATCCACCAAAAACCATGCTCTCTTACCATAAATCATGGTTAAAAAAAATCTAACTATCACTTCATGAAAAGCTAGACATGTAGGATTTAAAACAAATTACATTGATAAATAATTCCTTTTTTATTCCATAAGTAGATGTCATCCAATCTTTAAATGTTCCTTTAGCGTATCACAATGAAATCTCTTTATACACTAAAAATTCTTCCTTCAGAATATTCCTTCTCAGAAAATTGGGGGAGTTCGCAGAAAATTTTCATCTTAAATAATTAGTCAGAAATGTGCAACTTACTTTCAGAATTTATATCTCACTACTGTAATACAACTTCAAAAACACTCAGGTAAAGCCCATTCTACCCCAGCAAACAAGAAGATTAACACTTAAAAGAGTCATGCAATAAACCACCAAACATGGGACTTGAGATTATAAAAAATTAAAGCCTAATATTAGTATAGAAAATGTCCTATCAACAACTTTACTTATACCTTTTCAAACTAGTTGGTTAATATCCTCCAGTACCTTAATTGACTTGACCACAGAAATATTTTATTACCCAGATAAGACTTAAGTTGCCATTCTTTTTGTTTTGTCAGTCATGAGGCTTGAACTCTGGGCTTGGGTCCTGTCCCTGTGCTCTTCAGCTCAAGGAGAGCGCTCTACCACTTAAGCCACAGCGCCATTTCTGGTTTTCTAGTGGTTTATTGAAGATAAAGAGACCCACAGCCTTTCCTGCCCGGGCTGGCTTTGAACTGCAATCCTCAGATCTCAGCCTCCTGAGTAGCTAAGATTATAGCTGTGAGCCACTGGCACCCAGCTGCCATTCTTTTAAAAGTTTTTTAGTAGTAAAGCCAGCTAGGCTGGCTTTGAACCACCACCATAAGATCTCAATCTCCTGAGAAGCTAGAATTACAGATGTGGGCCATTGGCATAGTCTCATTTTTAAGTTTTCATATAATTCACCTCTGTATTGATAGGCACTAATTCTTCAGTTGTGAAAAAAAATCAGGCACTTTGGTTGGCATTAAAAAACAAAAAAAAGTGCTTCAGTTGGTTAGAAATAGGCAAGCTAAAATCTCAGGTCCTCTCTCTTTCAGTTACCCATATTGGATTCCTGTATTTATCTCCATGTTTCCTACTGTAATAGCTTGATGGCAAAGAAACAAGCCTTCAAAGGCCATACTAGTGTCCATTAGCATGGTCTAGTTTCTAGTACTGAGTCATTGCTTGGACTCTATTTACCTAATTTTTACAGAAATACACTCAGGGGTCATCATGTTATTGTACATATCATGATTAGGTCATATGAAAGCTTTCCATACTATGCTCATACAATTGTTCTAACTAGATATTGATATCCTCAGCCTCAGGGTTGGCCACAGTACTGGATATAAGTATTTTCTTATAGATAGCTTACCCAGAAAAATATAGGAACCATTAGTTCAATGAATGCATGGCCATATGACCAAGACCTTGTCTTCAGAAAGCTGCTGCTGGAGCCCCTGCCCATTGGGGTCTGCAGTGTTCAAAAGTAAGTGTTTAGTGAGAAAAGGACTTTTTTCTCTGTTTAACTAGCATATTCTTAAATCATAAGTATCATTAAATCATTTTAATTTTAAACTAATTTCTAAATCTGGTGCTCAACTTCATTAGTAGCTAATACATTTATTTATAGCCATTCCTTATAGCTTATCACTATGTTCATTCACTTAATACTTCATGAGACATAACCTAGGATCTTTTCAGAAGATATTATTAATGAACAAAAGAAAACTTCAGAATAATGCCCTTGTTAGAATAAATTGTATAATATTACTACTCAATACATTTTAATAAGGGGGAGATAAAAAGATAACTCCCCTAGAAAGAGCATAATATTTACCAGATTAATCCTCTCAATTGCAATTTAAAAAAGAAAAACACACACATCCTCTCATTAGTCACTGCCTATAGTTCTAGATGGGTTTCCATCTAGATAATTTGTTGCCATTATAATAGGTAAAAAATGTTTGAATATTGTCTATTTGATATATTTATACATAAATACATACATACATACATACATACATACATACATACACACACACACACATATATATATATATATAGTAGGAAAGGACTTATTTGCTAATTGGATACAATATTCTTCTTCTTCTTCTTTTTTTCTGTCAGTCATAGGGCTTGAACTCAGGGCCTGGGTGCTGTCCCTGAGCTCTTTTGCTCAAGGCTAGTGTTCTACCACTTTGGACCACAGCGCCACTGGTTTTCTGGTGGTTAACTGGAGATAAGAGTGAAGTGAAGTAAGCCAGGCCCAAAGAAACATAGGTCCCATGGTTTCCCTTATTTGCAATAACTAGTATATATCTGGGACAAGTAGAAAAGGTCAAAAGGTATGTACATATGACCAGATAAAATGAAATTAAGCGAAATGAACCCTAAGATATGGGACACAAGTGGTTTTTTCTTTCTTGCTATTGTTCTAACGTATTTATAAGGTACCATGTGATTTTTTTTGTTGCTTTGTATGTTCCTCCCCCACAGTATAACCTGTTTTCATTGTATTTGATGTTGGTATAATTTGGGGAGGGGAAGGGAAAAAACAAACTGTTTAAATAGGGATACAGGTTGATTCATTTCAACAAGGAGATGTATAAGACACTATGTTGAAAAATGAACTTTACAAGTTAGGTTGGGGGGGCGGTAGGCAGGGTAGTTGTGGAGTTAAAAGGGAAAGGATGGTAGGGGAAAAACAAAGGAGGAGGCAACAATGCTTGATAAGAAATGTACTCATTACCTTGCTCATGTAACTGTAACCCCTCTGTACAGTATTTTCACAATAAAAACAAACAAACAAAAAAAGAGTCTCATGGACTTTCCTGCCCAGGCTGGTGAATAATGATCCTCAGATCTCAGCCTTCTGAGTAGCTAGGATTACAAGAGTGAGCCACCAAGCACCCAGCAGATACAGATATATTACCAAAGAATTAGGACTCACCTGAATGACCTCAGCATTCGATAGGACTTTCCTAAATCGGATACTCGTCTGCAAAATGGACCTACAGCCAACTCCATCTGAAATAGTAAAAGACAGTCTATAGTTTGTTTGTTTTTTAATCTCAGAAACTTACGTATATTTTGGACATGTCTATATTTTCATTGCTGTGACAAAATTCCTGACATTAACAAGTTAATGGAGGAAAGACTGGTTTGGCTCATGGTTTGAAAGGGTTCAAGAACATCAAGGTGTGGTGGTAGCAGGTAGAGCAGATAAGGAGGGGTTGGGGCATGTGTGGTGGAGCAAGGAAGCAGAAAGACTGCTACACAGCTTTCTCTGGCCCTTTTATTACATCCAGGTCTCCCACATTCAGAGCAGGTCTTCCCCTTCGTGAATCCTCTTTGGAAGACTCTCCCACATACAGCCAGAGGTATGCTTTGCTCATTTCCAAAGGAATCATGATTAGCCACAAAAACCTTATCTTGCAGTAAACAATGTTACCTAAACTGTGAGGCAAATTTTGAAAGCCAACAATTTTTTAAAGGAAAACAGTTATGAGCAGGTCCTTAAGAAGGTTAGATCATTTTTCAAGTAAAATATTAGAAAAAGACAAGACTCTCTACCTATATTTTAAGTCTTTTTACAGGCAATATAAAAAGACTTTATCAGTCACTGTGTGCCAGAGTGATTATAAGCTCTAACGCTGGAGATTCCTATAGTTACTAATATTGTCCACTGAGCAAGTTATTTAACCACTCCTCGTCTCAGGTCTCTCATTATAAAGTGAAGATAATACTTCCTACTAAATAGAATTATTTAAAAAATAGGTTATTTCACAAAGTTTTATTTGTATGGTATGTAAGTGCTAATTAAATATCAGCATGTACTGCAAGTACTTTTTGTTGTTGTTGTTGTTGGTCATGGGGCTTGAACTCTGAGCCTGGGCCTGGGCGCTGTCCCTCAGCTCTTCAGCTCAAGGTGAGTGCTCTATCGCTTGAGCCACAGCGCCACTTCCGGTTTTCTGGTGGTTTATTGGAGATAAGAGTTTCACTGACTTTCCTGCCCAGGCTGGCTTTGCACCATGATCCTCAAATCTCAGCCTCCTGAGTAGATAGGATTACAGGTGTGAGCCACCAGCACCCAGCTTGCAAGTACTTATTAATCACATTTTTTTTTTTCCAGTAAGAGAAGGTCTTTCTATACAACTCAGGCTAGTCACAAATTCGCAATTCTGCCTCCACACACAAGAACTAGGATTACAGAAATGTGCCATCATGCCCAGCTTTTTCTCTTTAAAATTTTTATCAGTTCCTTGATGCAAGAATTCAGCAAATACTGGTTTTATGTGTCTTTCATTTCTTCTTTTGGAAATTCTACTTGTCAGGATTTATGCTACCTGTTCTTTATCTACTAAGCACACATGTAAGGATTTTGCTAGCTTGAACATCAGAAAGCATTTCTCCATTCTTACTATAAATTTGTTAAAGAGCAGTTTAAGATGTTCTCTAGTAGTGTAGCATCATTATCTGAGAAAAACACATGAAAGAAAAGTGAGCTTTTTGTCCTGTTGGCCATCCTTACAAAATCATCAAAATGCCCTTGTTATCAGTAAGCCACAAAGACCTAATCACTCATTTCAGAAGCATGTTTGACTACCCATTAAAACTGCCTGATACTGAGCAACATGTTAGTTTTGCCTTCAAAGGGATCTCAAATTTAGTGAAGAAAAGGACAGTTATTCAAACAATATAATTACCATTCAATAAAATCACAAAGAAGATATATAGATGTACACATATACACATATGAATATACACATGCTTTATTATTTTGTTGAATAAATATATTGTTTGTATAAATGTAACATAAGATGCATAATTACATGTAGTAATTATTAGGCAAAATGATCAGAGATAGATCAGAATGTATGAACTGGGCATTAAGGAGAGTCAGAGGGCAACTTTCTTCCAGAGTAGAATACATAGAGTGTACATTGTATGTCCTAGACAGAAAAATTAGATGACTGAAGATCTCTACCTGATAGAAGAATAAACAAAAAGAAAACCCTAAAGAAAGGAAATGCAAGAATTCTTGTTAAAAATACAAAATAGAACAGCTGCAAGCAAGCCAGTTCTCTCAAACTTAGAAGACAATAGTGATACCCTGTTCCTGAAGATCTGATGGGGACAAGGTGTGGCTTGTTTCCTTCAGAATACATTATTTATTTTACACTTAGTTCAAAGCAGAAAGATGTGATCAGCATGTATTTTTGATTCATTAATTCCATTTATCCCTCTGTGTGTGTATATGTATGTCACACACAATGTGATATATTTTTCACAAAATGTTTAGGTCAATTTTTCTTCAATTACTCTACTCAATTCATTGTCTTTAAAGATCAAGCTAGACAATCTTTAACCTAGTCCTTGAAGAGATTAAATGTTAAAACAATTAAATGGCAGAAAAAAAGTTACTAAATGAGATATTATGACCTCAAACGGCTGTGCAGTCTATGATGATACAGAAAATTTCTTTACCACATGTCAACTTTAAAATGTTAACTGTTTAAAATGAATTTTTCATTCCTGAAGAACCCCTAGGGTATTAGAACTCATTTTCTTCTGTCAGAGTTTGATTAAACAATAAAGGCCAAGCTTTGAAGAGCAGGAACATTTATTTTAGAGGAGCTGACTTGGCAATGAACTGTGGATAGAAAAAACGTCATGTGCCAGTGATTCTCCAGCCCTCCTATTTGGAGAAATGAGCAGTCGAGTGGGATACATGCACACTGATTACTAACTGCTCCTTTTCCACCACAGACATTTGGTCAACCACAGGGCATCTCTGGATACTGTTAAGGTAGTCAGCCCTAACACTGCTCAGGAGAAGTAAAGGATATAGGGATTAGAACCAAAATAAGAATTTTGAACCTAATTTCCTTTCTAAATTTTTATTTTTGGGCAAATTGTGAGATATACAAACATATAAGATACCAGAAGATTTATAAATAGAAACTGCTACAAGTACCACTAAATAATTCAATGCCAGCTTCAATAGCCATTCTTTTCCTCAGGGAAGAAAATAAAAGGGGTGTGAGGAGGGAGGGGGAGTGTGTGTTTCCAGGGCACTGTAGCTAAGTCTGCAAAGAGAGTCAGAATCAGCAGAACCCCAGGGGCCTTGGACAAGCTCAGTGCTTTCAGAACTGCTGTGTGATTAGTGTAGACACCAAGACCATGTGGTCACAGCAGGGAATTAATTACCTGCAGGAAGCCGCCTCATGCCTGTGACCTGATTCCTAAGAGGACTGTATGTTGGGCTCTTCCCTCACCACAAGCCCTCCAGATGGCACCCTGCAACTACTTTCTCTCTCCACATTTGTGCCAGTGAAGAGTAGTTCAGATTGTTCATAAATGTCCTTAAAATAAATTACTCCTTGCAAGTGGGTTGTATGTTAAATAACCTATATTCCCATGTTCATTTTTAATGATTTCTTCTTCAGCCTTTTCCCTTTCTGTTATTTGTGCCAGAATAAGCAGGCCTTTTTAATCACAAGAAGACTTTTCAAACCCAGAGCATTTATGTATTCTTGATTACAGTGACCCCAGTGGCTTTGTTTAATTTTGAATAAAAATTGAGAAAACTTTCAATAATGAGGCAGTTGAAAGGCTTTCTCCTCCCCAGTTAATGCCTGTCATGAATATAAATGTCAGGGTAATGCCACCTAAGTGTTTTGACTAATCCAGGAAAACATTTCCAACAAGGTAATATTCTGAAAGCTGAGGTACAATATATTATTGCAGTGTGGCATAAATCAAACCCGGTAAAATGAAGACCCTTAAATCAAAATTTAAGACTTGGACAATATTTGCTAAAGCAAATGACTGACTATAACAGCATCTCTACCATCACAGTCCTGTGTCCATGACCCACACAGCACCAGAGCCAGGCCCAGGTAGGTGGCAGGATATTCTGAAATTGGGACACACTGTCGAGCAGTGAAGCAGGGCACCTGGCAGACAGCATGCAGCAAATCAGCAGCAGCACTGTGGGCCTGGAGCCTGCACTCTTAGTACTGAGTATTTAAGAAACAGAGAACAGAGGTCTTCAAGCATGCTAGTAATAAAGACTAAAGAGTTTTCTTTATCTTAAAGGAAGGGACTCAGGAAAATTATGGTTTATTGAGTAACTTAAGAAAAAAGGAATGCAAATAAATTATGAACAATGCAGCTTTTGGAAAGTAGAAGCTCACCCCTGGCAGGGAAGGCTCTGCACTTTGAACAGGTATAGCTGCAGTAGACGGCTTAAAGGACAATTTCTTCCCATTTTTAAAGAAACATACGGGAACGCAGCATTGAAATAAAACCCCAAACAACAAGGCTCTCCTAAAGCACTCTCATTTTGGCCATCTCCTGCTCAGCTGCCACTCTAATTGGACTTGAAGTGCTGCCTCCAGGAAAGTGACTCAAGAACCAGCTGGAACAGAATGCAAATAAGCTAGTGGGGGGAGCTGGAGCTCCGGAGACGAAAAAGGAGAGAAAAACACAAAGTTAAGGAGGAAAGGGGAAAAAGAGAACAGAGACCTGAGTTCAATCTACAATGCTTTAACAAATAAGAACCAGGCCTAAGACATTATTGTGTTTTCCTTTCAGTAAGCAGCCTATGATAACCCAGTAAGAGAAAAGTAGGATGCTATTTATATTCATATTCTGTCTGAGCTGAATTTCCCATAAAGGAAAGCAAAATGTACAGATATCTAAGAATGAAGTTGACAAAAATGTTGAGGCACTTTAATGGGAGCCTTTAGTTTGTTTTTACATATGGCTGCTAACTCACATTTCCCAAAGGAAGGCTCTTTTTATTTTATGGTCTAGTTAGGTATATTATTTGGGGGTAAAAATGTCTAATACATTAATATACAAAGAGGTTGGCTCTTGAAACCTTATGTTTGTGTTCCCCGCTTCTTCTGGTCAGTGAGAAAGCCTGAGAGAGTGAGTGACAGCAACCATCAACCTCCATAAACAGTGGGCCAGGGTCTCTAACAGAGCAGGAATTATAAACCAGGCACACTCCCAAACATAAATATAAATATAAATATTGACAGTAACATTTAGCATTATAAACAGGGATGATCTGGCAAACTGCTATGAAGATTCCATCTGAGTAACTTATTTAGATTAGTAAAGCCAACAGCTTTGAAAGGTTTAAAAAATGATTTCATCTTTGACATGTTATCATGTTATATAAACAAGAATCATCTTTCTTAAATCTTTTAATGAAAGTGTATGTTTAGGGTATCTCTCTGCTTCTGATACTGAAGGTTTTTTTGTTTTTTTTTTTTAAATCTGTCTTCAGGAAAAAAAAAAAAACCCTGAAAGCTGATCATAGTCCTACTATTTTAAATTCATTCTCTCTCACAAACATCAGATAGCTTGGACTGATTTCAAAGCTATCCTCAGTTACGAAATGTACTCTATGTAATAGAAGGAGACCAAATACTCAGATTCATAATCTACCTTCTCTACAAGCAGGTCAATGAATTAGAACACATTCCTGGAATGCTGAGCTGGCCATTAGAAGATTACAGATGTGTTGGAGTTTTTCTCTTCTCATAACAAGCAGCCTTCTTTCCATTGTTTGGAAGGTTATTTCAATACCTACTTCATTTTCAGCAAAGTTAAGCAAGTACTTTTAACAATATTGACTTAGTAGGATAGTAAATAGTGTAAAAATGGGAGATGCTGCTTTTATTTTGAAATCAACTATTTTATCTTAACCTTCAAAGATCAAAGATGATTATTTTGTTCAATCCAAACAAATACAAAATATATAGTAAAAAATAAATTTAAATTCTTCTCCTCTTATTTAACTAGGTAGCTTTAAGTGGGACTACTTTTCTTTATGCTACAAATCTTTAAAACCATTGATGGCAGACAGCCTCTTACCTAAAAGACAATACTGATACTGAAGCATTTGCTTCTATATAGCTAGCTATGCATCAATTTACCTGTGCAAAATCAGCAGCAAGTCGCATTTTTCCACCTTCACCAAGAGGTCTTATAAGGCTGGCATTGCGGATAAAAAGTTCAATTGCTCTTTGAGCAATATCTTCCGTGTTGTCAAAGACAAAATCCAAGCATTCAAAGTGTTTAAAGTAGTCACTCATAACTCTAGCAATGAAACCTTGTAGTTCCTTCATGTAGAGAGAACAAGGAATATCAGGTTTTCCTGAGCTGGATAATGACCTGTAGGAGAAAAGAAAAGCAGCTATTTTCAGCACCAATGCACTAAGCTGAAATGTTTGATTTTTCCTCCTCCCCCTACTATTTCAATCCTGCATAATTTTTCTCTGTAATGGTATAAAGGCATCATTTATTTTTTGCTAAGTGTTTAAAAAAAAGTATAATGTAATGTTTAAGTTATATTCTAAAGACTGTGTTTACATGCTAGGAAGATTACTGAAGACATTTTAGAATCCATTTACCTAAAAGATTAAGAATGAAAAGACAGCCATCTGTCTCAGATGACTCACACAAGAGTGCATTCTCAGAGGCTGGCCTCTCAAAGTCCCTCCCAGACTCACAACTCTCAATCCACTCCCATGTTTTGCCTGGTAAGTGAATGCATCAATAATGGGTCTTGAAATAGCATTTCACATTTTGCAATGGCAGAAAATGTTGCCCTCTCCAAACAAATTCTTGGCAACAATATCTCTGCTCTTTTGGGATTTAATCAGATCAACCCAATAGCAGAATTCTGACTGTGGAATTGGTTATGTAACAGTACACATGGTATACAATTTTTCCTCCAGATGATGAAGTTTGGAAAGGCTTTAATTTGGATCAGCAGATGATGCCAGCTGATGCTCTCTGATATACTATTTATAACTTATAAATGTTGACAATTGCCCTGTAAAGAATATATTAAAAGAATATGAAATATTTACAGGGAAGAAGTTATACCAAAATTAGAAAGCACCTGACACTGGCTAATAGATGAGATCACTGGCTACACAAAGCTGCATTCCCCGCCTCTCAAAGCAAGTTAAATGTTTCCATTTTATGGGAATGACGTAAAGAAACTGGTGCTGGCTCTGAGATGAACAACAGCTATGAGTAAAATTCTTAGAGCAAAAGAATGAGGTGAACTTGATGATCTTCAAAGACAGTAAATGGTTCTCATAAATAGACAGATAATAAACAGAGGTGAGGTAGACATAAAGGAAAGACTAGGTTTTTATCCTAGCAGAAGGGGATTCTGACCAGATATAACAAAGATTGTCCTAACAAAGTCAAGGACATTGCAAGACTTGTAGTGGAACAATTCTGTGTGTGGGGTCATTCCTGGGTGGAGTGCTGCTTGAGAAAGGGGGAGTGTTGTTAGCAGTGCTTAGTGGTGCCTGATCCAGACCATTGTGTGGGCTGTCTTTATTCTGGTTTCATCAGTACAAAGAAATATATTACAATACAAAACAATCAGTCCACAGAGTGCCCATTTCTTGTATATTCTTTATAGTTTAAATTTTTTGACAAATTATAGTAGTATATAATTATATTTGTGTGTGGAATGATTATATAAAGCAGAACTGCATAGTCATCACCTTAAGTGTTTATTTTTCCTGTATTCCTAACTGAACTTTGTGCCATTTGACCCAAATTATGCCATGACTTCCCATCACCAGCCCTTGGTAAATCACCATTCTACTGTTTGCTTCTGTAAGTTCTATTGTTTTAGATAATGAGAACATGAAGTATTTGCTTTTCTGTGCCTGGTTACTTCATTTATTTTAATGTCCTCTAGGTTCTTCCATATAACAGCAAAGTGATTTTAATCCTTCCTTTTGACGTATTAATAGTGTTTCATAGTACATACATAACACATTTTCTTTACAAATTCATTGGTTGATGGACATATAGGCTGATTCCCTAACTCAGAAAATACTGCTTCAGTGAATATTGGAGTGTAGGTATCTCTTTGACATACTGATTTCAGGTCTTTAGGACATATACTTAGAACTAGATTATATAGCTATATATATTTATAATATAATATAATATAATAATATAATGTATATATATAGAGGAATCTTTCAATACGATGTCCATAATGGCTGCATTAATATAGTCCTTTCAACAATGTACAGGGGGTTCCTTTTTCATTACATCCTCACCAACACTGATGATCTTTCTTTTCAATAACAGCTATTCTGACAGCTGTAAAGTGCTGTTGCCTTGTGGGTTTTTTTTTTTTTTTTGTCAGTCACGAGGCTTGAACTCTGGGCTTGGGCGCTGTCCCTCAGCTCTTCAGCTCAAGGCCAGCGCTCTACTGCTACAGCCTCAGTGTCACTTCCGGTTTTCTAGTGGTTTATTGGAGATAAAAGTCTCACAGATTTTACTGCCCGGGCTGGCTTTGTACTGTGATCCTCAGATCTCAGCCTCCTGAATAGTTAGGATTACAGGCATGAGCCACCAGCTGCTTTGTGGTTTTGATTTGTATTTTGTTAATAGTAATCTATAACATTTTGCATTTTGTATATCTATTGATATTTGAATGCTTTGTTCTTGTTTTTAAGAAATATCTATTAAAGTCCTTTCCTTTTTTTTTTTTGCAGTCCCAGGGCTTGAACTCAGGGCCTAAGCACTGTTGCTAAGCCTCTTTGTGCTCAAGGCTAGTGCTCTACCACTTGAACCACAGCACCACTTCCAGCTTTTTCTGAGTTTATTGGAGATAAGAGTCTCAGACTTTCCTGTAGACCCTAACTTTGAACCGTAATCCTCAGATCTCAGCCTCCTAAGTAGCTAGGATTATACTGGTGGCTCAGGCCACCAGTACCCAGCTAGTCCTTTACACTTTAATTGTTTCTTCCTTATTACTGAGTTTTTGGAGTTGCTTATGGATGCTTTTGGATGTTAATTATCAATTGAAATGTTTGTAAGTGCTTTCTCCAAATCTGTATGTTATCTCTCACTTTGTTCATTATGTTCTTTGCTATGCAGAGGCGTTACGCTTTTGCTACCTGAGGTTTTCAGGTCAATTCCAACAACAGAATTATTGCCCAGACCAATGCCACGTAGGTTTTCCCTTATGATTTCCTCTGGTATCTTACAGTTCCAGGTTCTACATTTCTACCCTAACTATACAATTTGAGTGTTATATGATGTGAAATGAAGGTCCAATTTCATTCTTCTGTATCCAGTGCTCTCACCACTACTGAAGAGATTGTCCTTTCCCATTGTATGGCCTTGGTATCTTTGTTGAAAATTAATTGAGTGTAAGTATATGGGTTCATTTCTGGGTTTTCTCTTCGATTCCACTGGCCAAAGTGTTTACTTTTATGCTCATTTCATGCTGATATTTTCTAGATTTACTGCTTGGATAGTTCTTTACTAGTCTGTACTAATGCAACTGTTTTTTTCGTTTACTGTTGGTCATGAAGCTTGAATTTGGGGCTTGGGGCTTGGGCATTGGGCATTGTCTCTGAACTCCTTCTGTTCAAAGCTAGTGCTCTACTAACCACAATGCCACTTCTGGTTTTCTGATGGTTATTTGGAGATAAGAATTTCAAGCATTTTGGGGCTGGGAAGTTGGCTCAGTGGTAGAGCACTTGCTTTGCATGCCTGAGGCCCTGGGTTCGATTCCTCAGCCCCACATAAGCAAAAAGAAAAAAGCCGGAAGTGGCGCTGTGGCTCAAGTGGTAGGGCACTAGCCTTGAGCTGAGGGACAGTGCTCAGGCCCAGAGTTCAGGCCCCACAACCGGACCAAAAAAAAAAAAAGAATTTTAAGCATTTTCCTGCCCACTCTGGCTTCAAACTGCAATCCTCAGATCATAGCCCTCTGAATAGCTAGGATTACAGGCATGAGCCACCAGAGCCCAGCTGCAATTGGTTTTTATATGGTAACTTCATTTATTAGACTTAACAGTTTTCTGACAGAATCTTTAGGGTTTTCCATAATTAAGATCATGTCATCAGCAGTGACATGTCCTATTGGATGTCTGTTCTTTTTAATTTTTTTCTCTTGCTCTAGAAAAGAATTCTAATACCATATTGAATAGAAATGGTAAGAGTGGAGTAGGCATGTTTGTTGTGCTCCTTATTTAAGGAAAATTTTTCTAGCTTTTAATCACTGAGTATGATGTTAGCTGTGGGCTTGTCATATATGGCTTACACAGTCTTGACACACATTTCCTTTATAGTTAATTTGCTAAGTGCTTTCCTGCTTCTAATGAGATGATCATATGGCTCTTGCTCTTCATTTTACTAATGTGGTGTGTCATAGTGATCTGCATGTGCTAACCATCTCTGAATCCTAGTGATAAATCTCACTTGATCATGGTGACTATTAAATTCCTGTTGAATTTGGCTTAAAGGCATTTTGTTAAGAATTTTACATCAGTGCTTCATGTTTGACACTGACATGTAATTTTCTTTTTGTATCAAGATAATACTAGTCTCATAAAAGAGCTAGGAAGTATTATCTCGTTGATTTTTTTTTTTTTTTTGTAGCATTTGAGGACAATTAATTCCTTTTTAAATGCTTGGTAGAATTCATCCATTAATTCCTAGACTTTTTTCTGATGGAAGATATTTTTAAATTGTATTTTAAATGTTTATTAGTTAAAATTTACTAATTAAAATAGTAATAAATATGGTAGTTTACTTTTGAATGCATATCTGATAAAAGGAACTGCCAGACCTATACCATGGATGTGTGAAACTCTGGACCCTTTAGCTCCCTGTGGCCCTGCCCATTGATCATGACCCACTACCTCAGCCACCACTGCACCAAGCCTCCTGTCTCCTGATTTGCCTCAGGTTACTATACCACCGCTTTTCAACTCTCCACTGGAGTTTGTCTGGTTTGTTGAGATTGTTTTTCTGCTCTTTCTTTACTACCCTTGTGGGTCAGTTTCCTAACAAGATTAAGTGCATTCAAGGCTGCAAGTTTTTTGAGGATATGTGTCCAATAACAGTTGCCAGATTTCTAATAAGGACTTCTAATTCAACCTCTCAAAATGTGGCTTCTTTGTATCTCACAATTGAATTCCGGTATAACAGTATTGTATTCATTTGGCTCTGTTAAGTAATAATTAATAATGACTGCTTTGGTTGTATTTTACAATGTCTGACTTAAAGTCTGTAAGGTCCGCTCCTGGATGGCTAGCAGACTCCACCCTCCTCACAGCAAAGTCTCCACCCAGTACCTGCGTTACCTAGGCAACTGGGACACCTGGAAGAGGTCACATCTGCATCCTCTGAGGTCACATCTGAATTTGATGTGGCCACACCTTTCTCCACCCATACCCTAGATAAGGCCTAGCCCAGGCCCAGAGGCGCTCTCTTGCTGCTCTTTTCTAGCTCTCTCTGCTCTTTTCTAGCTCTTTTCTCTCTTTCCTCTCTCTTTCCCAGCCGCGTGGAGTGCCAACTTTGCCTGGTCCTAGCAGGTCTACTGAATAAACCTACCCCTTACCTGAATACCACGTGCGTGCTGGTGCTGTTCTTACTCGGCTACCTCTTTTTAAAAACCTAACAAAGTCTATTTTGTCTCATAAATCATTACCCCTGTTCTCTCTTCGTTTCCTGAAAGGTAAGGAGACTCACATTTATGCAGCATTCATTTGGTCTTTCATATCTTATTATGCTTTATCAGAAGCAACAGTGTAATCTTTGTACTGCTCTGAGGGATCGCCTGAAGAGTTTTCATCTAGTGAATTACAATGATTTCTTTGAGCAGCAGAAAACAACATATTAAAACAAATTCCATAAACATGCATAAAGTATAAGTAAAATTAAGTATTTTAGATAAAAATTGCAACACATATTATCCATTCTCATTGTGATTGGAAGTTTCATAAACTCAACTATATTTCATTATGAAGACAACTGAAAAAAAACAACAACAAAGGAACAAAAGAAAAATATTTGGTACTGGGAATTGAACCCAGGATGTTGCACTAGCTTGGCATGTGCTTTGCTACTGTGTTACAACCTCAACCTTTAATTTGTTAATAGCCCTCAGAACCAATAAAAGCCTTAGAGATGGGAATGAAGGTGGGAATAAAAAAACAAAGGGAAGTCAGGAATGTGGTAATTTCAGGCACATGGAGGTGGAAGTAGGAGGATGGTAGTATAAGGCCAGCCCTGGGCAAAACCAGCATAACATACTATCTGAAAAAGAACTACAGCAAAAAGGGCTTGGGGTAGTGGTCAGGCAGTAGAGTGCTTGCCTAGCAAGCTTGAGGCCCCGAATTCAAAACTCTGAGTATCACTGAGAAGAGGGTGGAGAGAGAGAGATAGAGACAGAGATAGAGACAGAACTAGAGGCAGGGAGTGAGAAAGAGACAGACAGATGGGAATCTACTTTTTCTCATAACTCAGTGCTACTCCAAGTCTTAGCCCACTGGCTACCCTCCCTGGAGGACCTTCCTGCAATTATCCAGCCCATCCTCCAGCCCTGAATCCTAATCTAAATGTGAAAGCCCACTTCTCCACCCCCACTCCTCAGGTGTCAGATACCTGAGTTCCTCCATTTCAGGCCATTACTAAGAACTCTCAAGGCTTGTCCCCTAGATCTCAAGGCATGTTGGGAAAACTTTCTGCAACTCTCTAGCTACCTTCTACCCTGCCCCCACCTAGGACCCTACTTAAGTCCCTTCACCCAGCTCCCATGATGCCTCATGTCTCCTCAGCTCAACATGGCGGCGTCCCTCTTCAACTTTCCATTAAAGGTGATCCGGTCTGTTGACTCTGCTTTATGCACTTTCTTTATTCTAATACTCTCATGGCTCAGTTTCCTAACCCAGGGAGAGGGGGTGAGGAGAGGGAGAGGGAGAGGGAGAGGGAGAGGGAGAGGGAGAGGGAGAGGGAGAGGGAGAGGGAGAGGGAGAGGGAGAAGGCGAAGACAAAAGGCAGTAAAAAGACTAGTTAAAGTTTTGATAAAATGTTTTACCCAGAAAAATCTTCTTGATGCATGGTGATGATTATGGCCTCTATTGCATCTCCCACAGAAGTCAATAAGGGCTGCACAGCATTCCCCATAAGAGCATGAATCGTCTGACAAGGAGAAAAAAAAAAGGCAAAGCAAAAGTAAGAGAAACAAACAAAGAAATCTGCGGAAATGAAACAATTTTGACTAACAGTTTTCATATTCTTTCAAATGCAGACTATACATAGTTTAACTCAGCAGAACTCTGCTTCTCTCCCTAGTCACTGTCAGTAATGACTGCTGGAGCTTAAAATATGTAGAACTTAGCAATGAAAAATTCAACTCCCCCACTCCTCTCAATTTTTTCAAAAGGTTTAGTGGTAAAATGAGCCCACAGAGAAAGGGAGACATGTAAGAAGGGAAAAGTAGCTCTACTTACAAAGTGAAGAACATATGAAAATAAATTTTTGTTTCTCAAAAGAATGAAGCAAGAACAAAAGTAATCTTTAACAATCAGAACATCATCATATGCTTTTAACTAGAGTGAATATAATAAGTATACTGGTGGCTCTCACAACATGGAACAATTAGGCATTTCACAAATTAGGTTTCTGTTAAAGAGTTCTATATCAGAGACTCCCAACTATAGGCAGTTTTACTCCACAGCAAACATTTGGCAATGTCTGGATACAATTTTAGTTGTCACAATCAGAAAGGAGACAAAAGGGCTGGGAAGGTGGCTCAGTGGTAGAGCACTTGCCTTGCATGCATGAGGCCCTGGGTTCGATTCCTCAGCACCACATAAGCAAAAAGAAAAAAGCTGCAAGAGGCACAGTGGCTCAAGTGGTAGAGCGCTAGCCTTGAGCTGAAGAGCTGAGGGACATCGCCCAGGCCCAGAGTTCAGGCCCCACGACTGGACAAAAAAAAAAAAAAAAGGAAGGAGACAAAAGTATGCTGCTAGCATCTAGTGACAGAAGACAAGATATTGCCAAATTTCTTACATGATAGACCCCATGCAAAGAATTGTCTAATCTAAAATGTCTACATTTCTGAGGATAAAAAAACTGTCCTACAGTGAGATACAATTATTAGTTAATTTAAGACACTAGGCCTTAATCAGTAAATCTCTAAATGTCATCTGTAACCCTTAAAATGTGGTAAAAATGAAATACTGTAGACAGGGATGGATATGTGATATATATATATATATATATATATATCACCAAGGAGATGGTATCCTTGGTGGTTTTGTAGTCTATTGATGACTGACAAAACATCAGAATAATACAAGTAGTCTGAGTGCTCTAGGACTGTAACAGGACTTTTTTTCTTAAGTAAGTTTTTTATTGTGAAAATATTGTACAGAGGGGTTACAGTTACATGAGCAAGGTAATGAGTACATTTCTTATCAAGTATTGTTGCCTCCTCCTTTGTTTTTCCCTTGTAACAGAACTTTTAACGTATGCTGACAATATATGAAAAATAAAAAGTGCTGGACTGGGGGCATGGCTCAAGTAGTAGAGTGCTTGGATAGTGCGTGGGAAGGCCTAGATTCAATCCTCAGCACCATCAAATGAATAAATGGGTGAATAAATGAATAAGGGATTAATGTACAAATAAAATTAAAATTAACAAAAATAACATATGCTACTTGAATTTCTCTACTCTGTTTCAAAGGTAGGAACCAAGTAAAAAAGGTGGGGCTGGGAGTATATCTATCAAAGGCACAGGAGTCTGGGGAAAGCCAATGCATTTGGGGAGTTACAAAGCACTCAGTATGCAGAGACTGTTAAATACTGCCTATGTATAAGAGAGAGAAGTAGCAGGAGATGTATTCTCTACAGTCTTCTAAGGAAGGAACTAGAGAATCAACGACAAGTTTAAATGATTAAAAAATGTGATAAAGATTTCAGTTTTGAAAAAAAAGATCATATTGGACAGTAGCCTAAAAAAGTTAGACTAAAGACAAGAGAACAATTATGAAGGCACTGTAGAAGTGTAGATGTGAAATGGGTTCCTGAAGCAAATTAGAAGTCGTAGGAACAGATATGAGGAGAAGTAGAACTTGGTAATTAGATCTGGAATGTATGAAATGAGGATTTCAAAGTACACATTTTTTTTCTTTAAAAGTTCAATGGTACTGTCATATGAATGCAGAAATATCAGAGGTTGATTTGGTTTAGGGGCAGACAAAAAATCATGAAGAGTTCAGTTAAAAAGTTGAAGTGTTTATTGGAGATTCCACATGGGTTATACAAGTAGGTACTGAGATATTGAATGTGTATTTGCTGAGGCATTTTGGTTAGATTTGACAGTAACAGGCTTTTACAATGGGAGAGGAAGCCAAAAGATTCAAAGAGTTCCCAGAAGATAACAGACGGATTAAGACCAAAAGTCATTTAAAGGTCAAATAGAAGAAAAGCAACTAAAGAATTAAGAGTAGTATAAAAAAATCGAGTCATTTTATATGCTGAGCACTTTACTAGGTCCTTAACACATAGTAAAAAAAAAAAAAACTAAATTATCTCTCAAATAATTCTTTTATTTATTTATTTTATTGTGAAAATACTGTACAGAGGGGTTACACTTACATGGGCAAGATAATCATTACATTTCTTATCAAGCATTGTAACCTCCTCCTTTGTTTCCCCTTCCCATCTCTCCCTGCCCCCCCCATCCTCCTTGCCCCCCCCAAAAGTTGTAAAGTTCGTTTTTGACATAACGACTTCTACTTCTCATTGTTGCAATGGGTCCACCTGTATCCCTATTTAGATGACTTGTTTTTCCCCTTCCCCTCCACAAATTATACCGACATCAAATACAGTGAAAGCACGGGTTATACTGTAGGGGAGGGACATATAAAGCAACAAAGAAATCATCTTATAAATGCATTAGAAACAATCACATGAAAGAAAAAAAATATTTGAATACATATCTTAGGGTTCATTTCCCTAACAATACCTTATCTAACCTTTTCTGCTTGACTCAGACATATACTAGATATTGCAAATAAGGGAAACCATGGGACCTATGTTTCTTTGGGCTTGGCTTACTTCACATAATATAATTTTTTCCAAGCCTTTCCATTTCCTAACAAATGGGGCAATGTCATTCTTTCTGATGGAGGCACAGAATTCCATTGTGTATATATACCACATTTTCTTGATCCATTCATCTACTGAGGGGCATCTGGGTTGGTTCCATATCTTACCTAGAGTAAATAATGCTGCAATAAACATAGTCGTGCTGGTTGCTTTAGTGTGGTCTTCTTTTGTAACCATTTGGGTAAATGCCCAAAAGTGGGATTGCTGGGTCATAGGGGAGCTCTATGTGGAGTCTTTTGAGGAACCTCCATACTACTTTCCAAAGTGGTTGAACAAGTTTACACTCCCACCAACAATGCAGTAAGGTTCCCTTCTGTCTACATTCCCTCCAGCATGTGTTGTTATTAGAGTTCTTGATTTTTGCCAATCTAACTGGGGTGAGGTGGTATCTTAATGTTGTTTTGATTTGCATTTCTTTTATGGCTAGGGAGGTTGAGCATTTCTTCATGTGTCTATTGGCCATCCTTCTTTCCTCTTCAGAGAAGTTTCTCTTTAAGTCTTTAGCCCACTTATTTATTGGACAGTTGTTTCTTTTGAGGATTTGTTGTAGGGGGATCTGATTTATAGATACAGAATATAAAATAATTTATACATAGGGAAACTGAAGTGAAGTTAAGGAGAATGCCCAAAGCTACAGGTGACCAAGTGAAAGAGCTAAGATTACTGGGGCCTGCCTGAGTCCTCTGAGCTGTAGTTACAGCTCATAGAGAAGTTGGAAGAGACCTTAGAATGTGATAGGAATAAACAGACAAGGTTTCAAAAAGGAAGAGCAGGTTTTCAATTTATATAAAGCAAGAGTAACTCATATCATACAAATAACTATGGAAAAATACCACAAACACCTATCATGGGGCTTAGGAGACAGGAAAATACAGTTATAGAGAGGAATGAATACTTATGACAACAACCAGAACAGGGTGTTTTCCATATTTTCTATCTCTGTGTCATCTAATAACACTCAGTAAAGGAGATTATCGTCAGTGTCAGGCAAGGCTGAGTAGTTAAAACTCACAAGAGAGGCAGGTGCTGGTGGCTCATGCCTATAATCCTAGCTAGTAAGAGGCTGATATCTGAGGATCTTGGTTTGAAGCCAGCTCTTAGAAATAAAGTACATAGACTCTTATCTCCAATTAAGCACTAAAAAAGCTGGAAATGGAGCTATGGCTCAAGTACTATAAAGCATGAGCCTTCTAGTCTTGAGCCATAAAGCTCAAGGTTAGAATCTAGGCCCCGAGTTCCAGCCTTAGGACTGACAAAACAAACAAACAAAAGTCAACACCAATAATTATAACAATAACAACAAAAACCTATAGGAAAAAAATAACAAAAACCGTACTATCTTTTGGAGTAAAGGAACAGGCACAGGAAACCTGGGACAGTCAGAGCGGCTACAAAGCGAGAGGAGAACCGGAGAAGGACAGAGAATGCCTACAGTCTATGTTTAAATGCAGCAGTAGTACTATGCTGACTCATAAAACACACATTTTAGAGCAAACTAAAGGTGATTTTTCTAATAAAAAGCCAGTCAAATGATCCAGACTCCAGGATTATCAGTAAAGAACCTCAGTGAGATTTTTTTTTTGGCCTCTCCCAGGGCTTGAACTCATGGGCCTGTCCTGGGATAGTGCTCTACCAACTAAGCCACATTTCTACTTCGGGCTTTTCTGTAGTTAGTTGGAGATAAGAGTCTCATGAACTTTCCTGCTTGGGCTGGTTTTGAACTTTGATTCTTAGTTCTCAGCCTCCTGAGTAGCTAGGATTACAGAATCAGCCACTGGTGTCTAGATAGATTATTTTAAAAATAAACTTAAACATAAGTAAAATATGCTACTTGGGGTGAATTTCCCTACTCTGTTTCAAAGGTAGGAACCAAGGAAGATGCGTAAGGTAGTAATTGAAATAATAGGAAATCTCAGCAAAATGATTCAAACTGAAAAGCAAGCAACTGGGAATTTTAAACTAAACATTATTCCACCTGAACCTTAAAAGTTGACTGAATAGACTATGCAAAAGTACTGAGATAA